GGGGGGGGGGGGGGGGCAACCGAGTAGCGGAGGGCAAGGGAAATGTGAGGAAGTGGGTCGGTCTATGGCATGGATCGTGATGGTGCCGCTGGATGCGCTCCTTTCGCAGAACGCGAAAGCACTCTATAAGGCGGTACGGCCGCGTTGTTGTTTCCACACCCAAATAGTCAAGCGGTCGACCGCGAAAAACGCAGTTCCGCGGGTTTGACTTTGGCAAGTTCGCAGTCGTGATCACCTCGACACTTACCACACGTCGCTGAGCTTTTCCCGCGACAAGACCCGTTGTTTCGAAGACAGCCTCGAACCAAAAACAGCTACCAGCCAAATTGGGTTGGTGTGCAAAAATAGAGCGGAATGAAATGTTCTTCCGCCGCTGGCGTTGCAAGGCCTTGGGAATGGAGATGGCTGCGAAAACGCGCCACGGTACAAATGACGAGTTCGGAGTTGCAGCAGGCCAGCGAAGGAAACGCTATTCCACCGCTGGTGCCGCAAGCGCTTCTGAACCTGCTGCAACTCCGACCTCGCCATGTCGTGGCACATTTTCGCAGCTGCCTCGATTTCCAAGGCCTTGCGGCACCAGCAGCGGAAGAACATTTCCTTCCGTTAAACAGCGTGGGTGGTTCCGTTGGTGGGACTGCATCGCACCAAACAACCCCAACGTTCGAGCCGTGCCGAGGAAAAAGACCAGACAATTCCCTCGTCCCCCTCGAGGCTGACCCTTGCCCCCTCCTTTCTTTCGTTCCCACGCTCTGTCTCGCTCTCACCTCCCATGGAATGTCGCCCCTGTACAACACCTCGTGCTTTCCTGACAAGGGCTCGTAACCCTGAGAGGCCACGATTCACCAAGGATGAGGGTCCGGGACACGGTATGTTTGACGACGGATCGAGACCAACAACAGACGGGCAAATCAACTAGGGGACACAGCGGCGGCGATGAAACAACACTGCGTTAGCAAGAGAGTGCATGGAACGGCCTTGGGTCTGTCGGGAGAGAGTGCGTCGTGACGCCCACAGAGTGGAACTACAAACTGCTGTGGCCGAACAACAAACCAACAAACCTGCCCAAACTAACGTGTGGGTACCACGGGGGGGGGGGCGTCGATGCGAGGGTGATACAGGTATACACGTCTAGCATCATCCTCTCTCTGCTTCCACCCATCCACCCACCCTGCCAGCTGAAAAAATGACGGGCTCGATTCATAAAAGGCCGAAAACAAAACAAAAAAAAGTTGGCCTTTCTATCACCCTTTTCTTTCCCCCTCTCAACCACAATGCACTCCTCTCGCACCCAACCCTCACCCCATCAAACGCATTTCTTTCCCCCTCTCAACCGCAACGCCCCTCCCTCCACACCGTATTCGATTAGTTATCTCACCCTTACGGTGGCCATCTTCCACTTCCCGTCCTGCCTGCACACGCCGATGCCGCGCCCGGTGAACGCGTCCGGGCTCTCCGTGACGCACGACTCGCAGAACCAGTACCGCTCCTTCTTGGTGCATGCCATGGAGGGCCTTCCCCCCGTTGCCGCCAGTGGCGGGTCTCGGCGGAGCTTGGTGCACTTGGCGCAGTTGATGCGGAGCCCGGTGCCGAAAACGGCCGCCGCCGGTTGCTGCTGCTGTTGCCGCTGCCGCTGCTGCTTCGTCCAGGCACGAAAAACAAAAAAACACACACACACACACACACACACACCGAAAATGACGTGGTTGAGTGATTGCGCAAGAACAGCAGTTATCATACTCCTCCCATCCAACCCTGTCGTCCGTCTGCCGGTCCCCCATCCCCTGTTCCTCCATCTATCGGTCCCCCCATACCCCCCATCCCCTGTTCCTCAATCTGTCGGTCCCCCATACTCCGCATCCCCTGTTCCTCCATCTGTCGGTCCCCCCATAAGCCTCGTCCCCTGCTCCCCTATCCGTGGGTCCTCCATATATCCCCTCAAAGAACTTACCTCAGAGCCGGACGCGCTCTGTTGCTGCCTGAGTCTGTCCTTGCGAGGCGTCCCCTCCTGCCTCTCTCTTCGGAGACGCTCGACCGTCGCCTGAGCCAGGGCGAGCAGCTGCTTGCCGTCCTTGGTAGCCTACGCGTAATCATGACATGATAAAGATGGTAGGACATTAAGTATACATGGTGGCATCACAACCGAATCGCAAAATCTCGGGCTTGACACTCTCTTGAGGGGTGGGTGCAACAGCAATCTTGTGTGTGTTTTGCTTTTAACCATGCACATTCAATTTTAATGTTCAGTTTTCGGGACGCCATGTATCGTGCAGCAAGAGATCGCCAACGCTTGCCAAAAATGAAGGCATTATCTCACCAGCAAGACACGGGCGGGTATGTTGGGGCACCAAAGGTAACATGGCACGTATTACAGTATGACACTACGCCGACAAAGAAGGAAAAAAACTTGTCAACAACAAAAAAAAGCATGACTGACTTCAGTGGCCTCTCGCTGGGCAAGCAACCGTTTGCGCCTACGGTGCAAGCGCGTGCGTGCGATACATGATGCCACCGTACGCCCGCCCGTCCCTTATGGTACTTTTGTGTGTCTGAACTTCGTGTGGCATACCCACTAGGTAGCAAGCAGGTGAGGAATCGAGCTTGGCGCTTCCCACCGCGCCCCTAATCTAGAGTCCGTCGGTTTGTGAATTCGTCCAGGGGAAACGAATGAGTTGGTTCGAATACGAATCCGATGCGGCTTGCTCGTGATAGGTGGGTAGAAGTGTTGCTTCACCCTGAGACGGCAAGGAAAGGTAGCAAGGAGGGCAAGCCGGAAGAGTGGGTGCATTCTTCCCTCCCCCCTTCGTCTCCCCCCCCCTCTCGCCTGCACTCTTCCCCCCCC